AAATGGTGCAAAGTGATATGTAGTTTGTCCAAATACCTTTGCATTCTATCTTCTCGAACTTCGAAGGTTTTGTTTACTTGATTTACCACCAGCAAAGAGTCACACTTGGCTTCAATGACTTCTGCTCCCAAGCTTTTAGCTAGCTCGAGAGCTGCAATCATGGCCTCATACTCGGCCTCGTTGTTAGTCAACCTGATAGCTTTAATAGATTGCCTAATAGTGTTACCCGTGGGTGGCTTTAAAACTATGCCTAGCCTGGACCCCTTCACGTTCGAAGCCCCGTCCGTAAAAAGGGTCCATACCCCCGATGACGTACCCGATTTCAACAAGAGTTCCTTTTTGACTTCGGGTACGAGGGTTGGCGTGAAATCAGCCACGAAGTCTGCTAAAATTTGAGACTTGACGGTCGTACGGGGTTGATATTCGATATCGTACCCACTGAGTTCGACGACCCATTTGGCCAATCGACTTGATAGTTCAGGCTTGTGCAAAATATTACGAAGAGGGTAAGTGGTTAATACGCATATGTGGTGACATTGAAAGTACGATCTTAATTTTCTAGAGGTGCTTATTAGTGCAAATGCCAATTTTTCTAGGTGCGGATATCTAGTTTCTGCTTCTCCTAAGGTTCGACTTATATAATAAACGGGAAATTGCGTACCTTGCTCTTCTCGAACTAGGACACCGCTTACTGCGATTTAGGATACTGCCAAGTACAAACAAAGTTTTTTTTTTTTTGGAGTATGAAGTAATGGCGGGCTCGATAGATATCGTTTTAATTCCTCTAATGCCTGTTGGCATTCCGGGGTCCAAGCGAAATCGTTCTTCTTTTTGAGTAGAGAGAAAAAATTGTGACTTCTATATGATGATCTCGAAATGAATCGGCTTAAGGCTACAATCCGTCCTGTTAGCCTCTGTACAACTTTCACGTTGTCCACGATGGTGATGTCCTCGATGGCCTTGATTTTATAGGGGTTAATCTTGATTCCCCGATTTGACACCATGAAGCTGAGGAACTTACCCGAACCGACTCCGAAAGCACATTTTTCGGGGTTGAGCTTCATGTTGTATTTCCTCAAAATCTCGAACGTTTCTTGCAAATGGGTCAAATGGTCCTCTGCGCGCAAGGACTTAACTCGCATGTCAACAATATAAACTTCCATTGATTTACCTATTTGTTCTTCGAATATTTTATTTACTAGGTGTTGGTAGGTAGCTCCTGCATTTTTAGCCCGAAGGGCATCACATTATAACAATATGTTCCATATTTGGTGACAAATAAAGTCTTTTTCTGATCTTCCGGGTTTATCTGGATTTGATTATACCCGGAATAGGCATCGAGAAAAGTAAGGATCTCGTGGCCGGCCGTGGCATCGATCATGCGGTCGATGTTGGGCAGCGGAAAGGAATATTTGGGGCATGCTTTGTTCAAATCCTTATAATCCACACACATTTTAAGTTTGTTCCCTTTTTAGGCACTACAACTACGTTGGCTAACTATTCGGGATATTTCACCTCCCGAATGGACCCTATCTTGAGAAGTTTGGTTACCTCGTTCTTTATGAATGTGTGCTTTACCTCGGACTAGGGTCTTCTTTTTTGCTTCACTGGTCTGAACCTAGGGTCTAAGCTTAGCCGATGCGTCGTTATGTCCGATGGGATCACTGTTATATCTAAATGGGACCAAGCAAAGCAATCAATGTTATCGATAAGAAATTGAATAAGTTTCTTCCTGAGTTCGGGGATCAACCTCGTTCCCAAGTATACCTTCCGTTCGGGCTAGTGCTCGATTAGTGTGACTTGCTCTAATTCCTCAATCATTGATTTGGTAGCGTCGGAATCATCGGGAATCATGAAGGATCGAGGGATCCTCTGATCATCATCTTCTTCGGTCTTCTGGTTATCTAGTCGAGTCAAAGTTGATGTCTGTGATTGCTATTTGGTATCTCGTTCCCTTTCTGAGCCCGATCCCTTTACTGGCGAAGGCGAGGATATTGGTTTCGCTTCCTCGATGGAGAATATTTCTCTTGCGGTTAGTTGTTCTCCGTACACTCTTTTGACTCCTCTCGAGGTTGGGAATTTAAGGACCTGGTGTAGGGTCGAAGGTACATCTCTCATGTTGTGGATTCGTGGCCTTCCAAAAAGGGCGTTGTATCTCATGTCGCCTTTAATCACGTGGAACTTCGTTTCCTGGATGGTCCCGACTACATTTATTGGTAGAATTATCTCGCCTTTGGTGGTTTCACATGCCATATTGAATCCGTTTAGAACCAGGGTCGCGGGTACGATCTGGTCCTGCAGGCCGAGTTGTTCTACGATCTTCAATCTGATGATGTTGGCCGAGCTACCTGGTTCAATCAACATACGCTTAACTTTAGTTTTATTCATGAGTACAGATATTACCAGTGCATCGTTATGAGGTTGTATGACTCCTTCTGCATCTTCATCATTGAAGGACAAAGTTCCTATGGGTGTGTAATCTTGAGTTCGAGATCGCTTTTCTCTCACAATCGATGTCTTAGTGCGTTTAAGCACCGGTCCCTGAGGGGTATCGACACCGCTGATGATCATGTGAATGACGTGCTGTGGTTCTTCTTGTTCGTTTTGCTTGCCGAAATCCCTGTTTTTAAAATGGTTCTTCGCCCTATCGCTTAAAAATTCTCAAAGGTGCCCTTTGTTGAATAACCGAGCTACTTCCTCTCTTAGTTGCCTGCAATCTTCCGTTCTGTGGCCATGGGTGCCATGATACTCGCACATTTGATTGGGATTCCTCTGGGCAGGATCGGTCTGCATGGATTGAGGCCATTTATTGTCTTTGATGCGTCCGATAGCCGAAACGATGGCGGATGCATCAATGCAGAAGTTATATTCCGATAATCGAGGCGCTTCCTTAGATCCGGCAAGCCTATCGAACCTACTTCTGCTCATCAGCCTCCGATACCCTTGACCTCGATCACTTCTCTTGTTATTTTGTCCGAGGTTATGTCTCGATTCACTGATTCTGCGGTTTCCGTTGTACAGTCGGTATCGATCCCCGATCGGACCTTGTTCTCGATTAATATCCCTTCGAACAGCGGATTCAGACCCCAATCGGTCATCTTTGACCCTAATTTTTGATTGGTACCGATTGTGCACGTCGGCCCACGTGATGGCTGGGTATTCGATCAGGTTATGCTTTAACCGTCGTGAAGCTGTCGAATTTCGTTCGTTTAAACCTTGAGTGAAAGCCTAAACAACCCAATCGTCTGTGACTGGTGGCAGGTCCATTCGTTCCATTTGAAAACGAGATACGAATTCCCTCAGCATCTCGTTATCTTTTTGTCTTACCTTGAAGAGGTCCGATTTCCTTGTTGCGACTTTTATGGCACCGACATGTGCTTTCACAAAAGAATCTGCTAACATGGCGAACGAGTCGATGGAATTTGGTGGTAGGTTGTGATACCAAATCATTGCTCTCTTCGAGAGGGTTTCTCTGAATTGTTTTAACAACACAGATTCGATTTCATGAATGCTATTTTCGGGTTCAGAATGTAGGTTTGCCTCAATGGCTACATGCGAATTGATATCTATCGACGCTCCGATTCAAGCTCCAACGGTGTTTACGAGTGGTCTTTCGATACTGGGTGTCAAGTTATTGTTCTCATCTTGAAGATCGGCTCCGTTGTCGATTGATGAATCCATTTGATCGGTAGTTAGTCGTTGCTAATCCGAAATCCAAGATATTTTTGAAAACAATCACAAAACACAATGGCGTATTTTTTTAGATTTGTATCAAATAACCACTTTATCCTTAGCCCCGCGGTGGGTGCCAAACTGTTTACCCGAAAAACGGATAGAGTTGAATTTGTACGTAGTTCTAAGGATATGTGGTGAATTTTAATACAAATCGTAAGGATATATAGAAATGTCAAGTATGGATTGCAAAGAACGCGGAATAAATAAATTTGTAAAGAAGATGGATTTTAGGACTAAACAAGTGAGATCAATTTAAGAAGCTTGAAAGAACAACTCTTCACTATGGGAGGATATGATGCTTGGATTACAATGTAAGCCTGAAAATTTGCCTTCTACAAAAATGATAACTATTCCCTTTATAGTAGAAGGATCTTACTTTAGATATAATTAAAAATACGTAGTGGGAGACCCATGATAAACCAACATTTCCACAATTCCTGCGGAGATTCTCTCCTCTAGTGATATTGCAACGGCTCTTGTCTATAAGCTCGATATTGACTCGAGTTTTCAGTCTTGACTCGAACTCTCGATCTTGGCTTGAGCTCAATTCTGACTCGGACCCTTGAATTGATTCGGGGTCAATGTTGGTCGGTCTCTGGATCATAAGCTCGACAACTTTACTTTGCATCGTAGCTCGATTTGGATTCGAGCTTGATTATAATATCGAGTTGTACATTGATCGGCCCCTCAGACTCGAAGCTTGTTTGTAGCATCTTCGGAACCCATCTCGAAGTATTACTTCGATCGATTATATTCGAACTTGATCAATCGTACGAAGGCCCTTGTCTTATGGCTCAATGGAGGTTAGTTTCCTGTTTTTATATCCTTAGTTATTCCAAAAAAAAGAAGTAATGAGATCAGATATTGTTTATTCACTTATGCAGAGTTCTATATTGATCAATCAAATGTTGTGCCATTCTTTTGGGAAAATTCTGAATAGCAAAGTCAATATATATATATATATATATATATATATATATATACTTCGAGAAAAAGGTCCAAAATTAACCCTCTACTCTTTGACTAGTATAATTTAAGATTACCCTCCATTATATTTCATGTTAGAGCTCTGTTATGAACAAGGGCAAACACAAGACTATTTACTAACTGCAAAGACATGAATGGCCCCAAAGTATAACGATGAGTAAAATGAAGATATTTCATATAGTAAAACGGTATTTCTGACCCTTTTCCTTTAGAACAATATACACGCTCCTGTGCTATTTTCATGTTCGTGATTTCAAAAAACATTATGTAACAAACAGGGCCAGGTTGTTCCTCACTTGGAGGGGGAGCATTTGGAGAACTTGGGCCATTTAGAGTTAACAAAGACGGTAGTCTAAACATGAATCAATTTTCATGGATTTCTGGTGAGTAAACTCAAAGACTGTAGTAATAGTATCAAATCTTAAGTCAAGTACTCTCAGAACATACACTAGTGAGTTTTGACATTCTCTTCTTCATTAGAGGCCAACATAATCTTTCTCGAATCGCCTGCTGGTGTTGGATTTTCATATACAAACACAAGCGTGGACTACAATTTTAGTGGAGATAGAACAACAGCTATTGATTCTTACACTTTTCTAGTCAATTGGCTCGAACGATTTCCAGAATACAAAACAAGGGACTTTTACCTTACTGGAGAGAGCTACGCCGGGCATTATGTCCCTCAACTTGCTCAGCTTATACTTCTGCACAACAATTACTCAAATCAGACTATCATCAATTTGAAAGGCATCACTGTAAGTTTTTTTTTTTATCTGATTAACATCTGTAGCAGCTCAGATTTTCCTCTAATTAGACCAATATCGTCGTTTAATGAAAATTTACATCTCAGATTGGCAATGCCTATGTTGACTTTGAAGCCAACATGAAAGGAACAACAGAATATTACTGGTCTCATGCACTAATATCAGATGAATTATACAACAAAATCATATCAAGTTGTAATTTTTCTAGTCCATCTTCTGCATCCAAGAAATGCAACGACTACTTGGACCAAATTGACAAAGAAATTGGAAATATCTTTCTATACAACATTTACGCGCCATTGTGCCCCAACGGATCACCCTCAAGTACCTCAGTAAGCAGTGTCATATAATTTTTAGTGTTTATTGTCTTAGAAAAACTAAAGAATGTACAATTAACTAATCCTCTCAAATTGTTTGGTCTTTTTTTGTTTGTTGAATAGACCTCAGAAGTTGATCCTTGCATGCCATTTTATATTCAGTCTTACTTTAACAAACCAGAAGTTCAAAAGGCTATCCATGCAAACGTTACAAATCTTCCCTATCCATGGGAAAGCTGCAAGTATAACACTCTTGATGATTATTTAGTAAAAACATTTTTTTTTTTGCCTATTATACATTTCGAAAAATATTTCTAACATTATATCAATTTTTTTTTTATTGGGAACAGTAATACGCTTAATCTCAGCTGGAAAGATAGACCATTGACCGTTTTGCCACTTTTGCGTCAGTTGATGAAGAGTGACTTAAAAATCTGGCTATATAGGTAAGATTTATGGAAACAAAATCCACAGAATTTCAAGATAGCATAATGATAAAAGGGAATTTTAACAAGCTTGAACAAGTGACAATATGCATTGCAGTGGTGACATGGATGTTGTAGTGCCAGTGACAGATACGAGGTATGCTATAAAGAAGCTAAAGTTACCAATCAAGACAGCTTGGTACCCTTGGTATTTCCAGGAAGAGGTAAATGCTCATCATTAAAAAGAAAAAAAATTGTTAACTTTGTTTTTTCATTTTCACTTGCATTTGGAGAAAGGGAGCCTTGGCGTAACCGGTAAAGTTATTGCCATGTGACGAGGAGGTCATCACCGGTTTGAGCCGTGAAAATAACCCCTTGCAGAAATGCAGGGTAGAGTTGCGCATAATAGATTCTTGTGGTTCGACTTTTGGGAGCTTAGTGCACCAAATTATTTTTTTTTTTTTGCATTTGGGGGGATCGGTTGTTAGCGATAGGGTCGGGTGGACAACGAAGGCTCATTTATTAGTAGCGAAACAGTTAGTAAAGGAAACCATAAACTTCAAATTCTGGATCGTTCGTGAGTATTGTTACAAGGAGAAGACGCTAAATGATGGTGTTGATTTTGTGTAGGTTGGTGGATATGTAGAGGAGTATGAGAACTTGACATTGGTGACAATAAGAGGAGCAGGGCATTTTGTTCCAACGTATCAGCCAAGTCGTGCCCTTTCTTTCTTCTCCTATTTTCTTAGTGGAAAACTTCCCCCTAAGGAGTAGTAGGCTACAATAAAGCTTTTACTTCTTCATAACAGAAAAGAAAAATGTGTCTAAGACCAACCACCATTTTTCACCCTCAATATTGACCCCTCTCTCTCTATATATATATATATATTATAGTCACGGTCAGCAATTTACTCTCAACCCGCTTGCACTATCTTCCACCACAGTACTGCTCATCTTATCATGAACATTA